CCGGTTGGCAATCAAAGGTGAAGGCGTCTGTGGGCAGGGGGGGCTGCGGGAGCCGAGCTTTGGGGCTGCCCCCCAACCCCCCCGGGCTCAGGTTCAAGCCTTTGGGGGCAGCACCTGGAAAAGGCCAAAAAGGGGGTGGAAAAAGGCGGAATTGCACCCAAAAAGGGGGAAATTCCAGGCTGGGAATGATGGGGGGGGGGGGCACTCACCTCCTAAGCTGGGCGGTGGCAGGAAGCTGGGCAGGTTCAAGTAGGGATTTAGGGGGATCTTGAAGTCTTTGGGGGGGTCCCCCAGAAGGGAAACCTGCGGGGGGGGGGGGGGAACAATGGGGGGGTCCAATGGGTGCTGATGGGGGGGGTTGGGCCCCCCTCCCCCCCAAAATTCCTTACCCCGGCTCCGCTCTCGCTCGGCTTCGGCTTCTGGAGCCCCCCAAGGACGGAGCCCAGCAGGGCCGGGGGGGGGAGCCCCTGCAGGGCCTGGGCGGGGGGGGCAGGAGCCAGGAGCGGCCCCCAGGGCCGGGGAGGCGGGGGGGGTCAGGAGAGGAGGGATGGCAGGGGGGGGATAACGGGGAGGGAAGAGGAGGGATGGCAGCGGGATCCATCCCAAGGGATAACGGGGAGGGAAGAGGAGGGATGGCAGCGGGATCCATCCCAAGGGATAACGGGGAGGGAAGAGGAGGGATGGCAGCGGGATGGCAGCGGGATCCATCCCAAGGGATAACGGGGAGGGAAGAGGAGGGATGGCACCGGATGCATCCCCATCCCAAGGGATAACGGGGAGGGGAAGAGGAGGGATGGCAGCGGGATCCATCCCCATCCCAAGGGATAACGGGGAGGGGAAGAGGAGGGATGGATAACGGGGAGGGAGGGATGGCACCGCGGGATAACGGGGAGGGAAGAGGAGGGATGGCACCGGGATCCATCCCCATCCCAAGGGATAACGGGGAGGGGAAGAGGAGGGATGGCAGCGGGATCCATCCCAAGGGATAACGGGGAGGGGAAGAGGAGGGATGGCACCGGATGCATCCCCATCCCAAGGGATAATGGGGAGGGAAGAGGAGGGATGGCACCGGGATAATGGGGAGGGAAGAGGAGGGATGGCACCGGATGCATCCCAATCCCAAGGGATCTCCTGCTCTTACCGGCGGGGAGCTCGGGCAGGATTGGGCCCGGGGGCTGAGCCGGAGCCAGGGCGCTGTGGGGCCGGGAGCTCAGCGGTGCCTCCCCCAGGATTCCCGGTCTCTGTTAAGGATAATGGGAAGTTATCCGGGATCATGGAAGCGGGTTGGAAGCACGGGGTCCATTGGCACCCAAGTTATCCGGGATCATGGAAGCAGGTTGGAAGCACGGGGCCCATTGGCTCCCGTTATCCGGGATCATGGAAGCGGGGTGGAAGCACGGGGTCCATTGGCACCCAAGTTATCCGGGATCATGGAAGCGGGTTGGAAGCACGGGGTCCATTGGCACCCGTTATCCGGGATCATGGAAGCGGGTTGGAAGCACGGGGTCCATTGGCACCCAGGGTATCTGGGATCATGGAAGCGGGGTGGAAGCACGGGGTCCATTGGCACCCGTTATCCGGGATCATGGAAGCGGGGTGGAAGCACGGGGTCCATTGGCACCCAAGTTATCCGGGATCATGGAAGTGGGGTGGAAGCACGGGGTCCATTGGCACCCAAGTTATCCGGGATCATGGAAGTGGGTTGGAAGCGGGGTGGACGGGGTCCATTGGCACCCCAGTGGAAGCGGGGTGGATCCCGGGATCATGGAAGTGGGTTGGAAGCATGGGGCCCATTGGCACCCACTGGCTCGGGAATGCCGTGTTCCCATCCCGACCACCCTTTACATGGATACACTCTTCCCTCTCCCCCCCCCGGAGCAGCCTGCCCCATCCCTTGGGACCAGAGCCCGGATCCATGCCCTTGACAGCGAGCACCAAGCCCCTTCCCCATCCAACCCCCCATCCCCATCCCGCTTTTCCCCCGGCATTCCCGGTTACCTGCGGGCCTCGGGGCTGCAGCAGCAGCTGGAGGAGCGCGGTGGCCAGCGCCGGGTTGCTCCCCAGGGCCACGGAGGGGGCGGCTCCCAGGATGCCTGGCGGGTGGGGAACATTCCGGAGGCCTGGAATTGCCTCCCGGCAGGGCGCTCCCATGGGATCCCCCCCTTTTCCTTACCCTGCTTCCCGGTGGGCAGCAGCGGAGGCAGCAGGAGCTGCAGCGACGCGGGGTTGCCCAGGCTGCTCAGGATCTGCAGCACGCTGGGCTCCGGGAGCAGCCCCTGCCCGCGGCTCAGGGCCTTGGGAATGCAGCGGGATGAGGGAGCGCCCCCGCCGCATTCCCTAGGGATCGGGGGCCCGTTCCCACCACCCCCAACCCCCGGGAGCAGAGGAATGGGAGCGCGTCCAGAGGGAATGGATGCCAGCCTTGGGAATGGCAGCGGTGCACGTTACCAGGGGGAGGGAGCAGGGAGAAGGGGAGGGAAGGAAACTGGGGAAGGGAAGGAAACTGGGGAAGGGAAGGGAATGGAACTGGGAAAGGGAAGGGAATGGAACTGGGAAAGGGAAGGGAATGGAACTGGGGAAGGGAAGGGAATGGAACTGGGGAAGGGAAGGGAATGGAACTGGGGAAGGGAAGGGAATGGAACTGGGGAAGGGAAGGGAAGGAAACCGGGGAAGGGAAGGGAATGAAACTGGGGAAGGGAAGGGAATGAAACTGGGGAAGGGAAGGGAATGGAACTGGGGAAGGGAAGGAAACCAGGAAAGGGAAGGGAAGGAAACTGGGGAAGGGAAGGGAATGGAACTGGGAAGGGAAGGGAATGGAACTGGGGAAGGGAAGGGAATGGAACTGGGGAAGGGAAGGGAATGGAACTGGGGAAGGGAAGGAAACCAGGAAAGGGAAGGGAAGGAAACCGGGAAAGGGGAGGGAAAGAAACTGGGAAGGGAAAGGAAGGGAACTGGGGAAGGGAAGGGAAAGGGAAGGAAACTGGGAAAGGGAAAGGAAGGGAAAGGAACTAGGGAAGGGATGGGAACTGGGGAAGGGAAGGGAAGGAAAGGGAACTGGGGAAGGGAGGGAACTGGGGAAGGGATGGAGAACTGGGGAAGGGAAACTGGGGAAGGGAAGAACTGGGGAAGGGAACGGAAGGGATGGGAACTGGGGAAGGGATGAGAACTGGGGAAGGGATGGGAACTGGGGAAGGGATGGGAACTGGGGAAGGGATGGGAACTGGGGAAGGGAAGGGAACTGGGGAAGGGAAGGGAACTGGGGAAGGGATGGGAACTGGGGAAGGGAAGGGAACTGGGGAAGGGATGGGAACTGGGGAAGGGATGGGAACTGGGGAAGGGATGGGAACTGGGGAAGGGATGGGAACTGGGGAAGGGATGGGAACTGGGGAAGGGATGGGAACTGGGGAAGGGATGGGAACTGGGGAAGGGAAGGGAACTGGGGAAGGGAAGGGAACGGAAGGGAAGGGAAGGGAAGCGGGGAAGGGAAAGGGGAATGGAGGGGAGGGGAGCAGGAGCCCCACCGTCGCCTGCGCCGCGGTGAGCGCAGCCAGCATGCTGCGGCCGGGCGGGCCGGGCGCGCAGAAGGAGACGCGGACGTGCTTCCCGGCGAGCGCGATGCCGTCGGTGGCCTCCTGCACCAGCTCCGCCAGCTCCGGCGACTCGTACTCCAGCACGGCAAAGCCCTGGAGCCGCCCGTCCTGCCCGTAGGCCAGCTGGGGACAGCCGGGTGAGCAGGGCAGGAGCCGGCTCCCGGTGTCCCCCCCTTTCCCCGTTCCCAACGGGAACGCCCGGCTCACCTGGCAGAAGGCGGGCGCGCCGGCGGCGGCAGAGAAGCGGCGGCGCAGCTCGTCCCGGTCGGAATAACCGCGGGGCAGTTGGTCCACGCACAGGCACCGCGAGTGCAGCAGCTCCGGGCTCAGGTGCTTGGCGTCCATCCAGTGCACGTAGAGGGTGCGGGTGCCCAGGCGGCGGCCGAGCAGCTCGAGCTTGGCTCGCGCCGCCGCCTCCTTCTTCATGTACTCCACGAAGCCGTAGCCTTTGGAGTGGCCGCTCCGGGCGCTGTAGACCAGGAAGCAGCGCTCGAGGCTGCCGAAGGGGCGGACGAGCTCCTGGAACTGCTGCTGGCTGAGGCGCAGCGGGAGGTTGGCGACGCAGAGCAGGGCCTCCGGGCGCTGGAGCTGCACCGAGAGCTCGCGCTCGCGCAGGCGGCTCCGGTGCAGGCGGGCGATGGCCGCCTCGGCCTGGTCGCGGTTCAGGAGCGTGACGAAGGCTGCAAGGGGGCGGCAGGGGGAGTGAAATGGGGATGGGGGGCAGAGGGAGCTGGGCTGGAAGGGAATCGCTATGGGATAAGTGGCGGGGGATGTGAGACAACCAAGAGGGGAAAAGCAGCAGGGAATGGGCTCAGGAGCATCCCGGCTCCAGGCAGGGGTACCACACCTGGAGCATCCAAAGTGTCCCCGCTGAACCCATCCCAGTGATGCCATAGGGAAAAGTGCGGGGGGGAAGATGGAGCTGGGTTGGAAGGGAATCGCTGTGGGATAAGTGGGGGGGGAGGTGAGCAAGAGGGGAAATGCAGCAGGGAACGGGTTTAGGAGCATCCCGGCTCCAGGCAGGGGTACCACAACTGGAGCATCCCCAGCGCCTCCACTGACCCCATCCCAGTGATGCCATAGGGAAAAGGAGGTGGGGGGGGGAAGATGGAGCTGGGCTGGAAGGGAATCGCTATGGGATAAGGGGGGGGGTGAAGTGACCAAGAGGGGAAAAGCAGCAGGGAATGGTTGGGAATGGGCTTAGGAGCATCCCGGCTCCAGGCAGGGGTACCACAACTGGAGCATCCAAAGTGTCTCCACTGAACCCATCCCAGTGATGCCATAGGGAAAAGGAGATGGGGGGATAGAGATGGAGCAGGGCTGGAAGGGAATCGCTATGGGATAAGGGGGGGGTTGAGACAACCAAGAGGGGAAAAGCAGCGGGGAATGGTTGGGAATGGGCTCAGGAGCATCCCGGCTCCAGGCAGGGGTACCACAGCTGGAGCATCCCCAGCGCCTCCACTGACCCCATCCCAGCATCCCGGCACCCTCACCGGGACGAGCTCCCGGCTCCATCCCCAACTTCCCGGTGCCACCCCCTTGTCCTGTCCCTGCCCAAAGCCCCGGGCTGAGCATTCCCAGCCCGGCTCCTGCACTGGGATCCCCAGATCCAAGGTGTGTGTGTGGGGGGGGGGGGTCCCAACGCCATGGATTTGGGATCCCCGGGATCGGGATAACTCACCGGTCCCTTTGCCCTTGTCCACGAAGCAATACTTGAGCTTGTAGTCCCGGAGCAGGTCATGCACCTCCTACGGGAACGGGGAAGGCCGGGATCGGCGGCTCCGTCCCGGCCCAGTCCCTGCGGCGCATCCCGGCGCCGGGATAACGGGAAGAGGGGCCCGCGGTGATCCCATGGGATACCGGCGGGGGCCGGGACCCGGTACCTGGTTGCTCACGTCCGCCGGGAGCCCCCGGATCAGCAACTTCCGGCGGTTCCGGAACTGCCGGGCGCTGCGGGCCAAGCGGCTCCGCACCTCGGCCCGGTCCAGCGGCGGCAGCGCCTCCTCCGGGGCCCGGCCTAGGCCGCGGCCTACCTCCGGTACCGGAGCCTCCGCGGGCCCCGGTACGGACAACGCGGCCGCCATCTTGGGCGCTTGGGGAGCTTAAGCGGAGGGCTGCGATAGAAGGCGCTGTCTCATTGGTCGCGGCAGCCGAGGCGCGGAGTGTGCGAGGCGGGGATTGGGCAGAGCGACACAAGCGGAGGCGGGAGGAACGGGGCTCGCTATTGGATGGAAACGACTCTTTTAGTTTGTGTTCCGCGCTCTGATTGGGCAAGAGGCGGCGAGCCCAGCGCTCTGATTGGACGATTACCGCGCTCTGATTGGATGATTCGCAAAAGACCCCGCAGCCCTATAACCCCCTATAGAGACCCCCCCATAGGGGTTCCTGACCCCCCCCCGCCCTATAGGGCCCCCGAACCCCCCTACAGGCCCCCCATAGACCCCCCCAAGAGGCCATAATGGAGCTGGTTGGGGCCATTACATCCTTTATTGGGGGGGGGGAGAAAGGGGGGGTCCCCCCCACCCCACCGCCCCCCCCAACCCCACCGCCCCCCCACGCCCCCACTGCTGGGTGTGGGGGGGGCAATAAATAAGGAGGAGCCCCATAAAGCAGTGCCCCCCCCTTAAAGTGCCACAGTCCTGGTGCTGAAGCCCCATTCATTGGGGTGGGGGCCCCCCAAATTGGGCGGGGGGGGGGGGGGCTCATCCTCCCCCCCCTCCTCCCCCCCAAAGTCTCATTCACAGTGTTCGGCCTCATCCCGGCCCTGGGAATACCGGGAATGGCGGCATCGGGATGCAGGGACCCCCCCCCCCGCAATGCAGTGCGATGGGGAGCAGAGAGGGGGGGTCCCCGTTGTGTCCGTGTCCCCCCCATCAGCAGAGGCTGAAGACGGAGGGCGCCTGGTCCCGGTATTTCTCCTGGAAGCTCCGGAGCAGGGGCACGAGGTTCTGGAACGCCGGCCGGAACGAGGCCTCCGCTTCCCAGCAGCTCCGCAGCAGGCGGTAGAGCTGGGGGCAAGGGGGGCGGATGGGACCGGGAGCGGCGCCCCCCCTTCCCCTTCCCCTTCCCCTTCCCCTTCCCCCTTCCCCTTCCCCCTTCCCCCTTTTCCTTCTCTGCCCACTTTTTTCCCAATTTTCCCACTTTATTCCCCACTTTTTCCCCTCTTTCCCATTCCCCCTCTTTTCACTTTTCCCCCTTCCTTTTTACCCTCTTTTCCCACTTTTTCCCCAGTTTTCTCACTTTTCTTCCCCACTTTTCCCTTTCCCCACTTTTCTTCCCCACTTTTCCCAATTTTCTTCCCCACTTTTCCTGATTTTCCCACTTTTTTCCCCTCTTTTCCCACTTTTCCCCCACTTTTTTCCCTTTTACCACCTTTTTCCCCCTCTTTTCCCCTCCCTTGGCTCCACTTCCCTTTTCCTCCCCACTTCCTTCCTGCCCTGGGGGCCAGCACAGCCCAGGGGGACAGAGACAGAGCTGGGCACATGGACACAGACACAGGGACATGGACACATGGATATGGACACACGGACATGGACACAGGGATACGGACACATGGATATGGACACATGGATATGGACACACGGACATGGACACAGGGATACGGACACATGGATATGGACACAAGGACACATGGATATGGACACATGGATATGGACACATGGACATGGACACAAGGATATGGACACAAGGACACATGGATATGGACACATGGACATGGACACAAGGATATGGACACAAGGACACATGGATATGGACACAGGGATATGGACACATGGATATGGACACATGGATATGGACACACGGACATGGACACAGGGACATGGACACATGGATATGGACACACGGATATGGACACATGGATATGGACACAGGGACATGGACACATGGATATGGACACATGGATATGGACACATGGATATGGACACAGGGACATGGACACATGGATATGGACACACGGATATGGACACAGGGACATGGACACAGGGACATGGACACATGGATATGGACACAGGGATATGGACACAAGGACATGGACACAGGGACATGGACACATGGACATGGACACAAGGACATGGACACATGGATATGGACACAGGGACATGGACACATGGATATGGACACATGGATATGGACACATGGATATGGACACACGGACACAAGGACACGGACACATGGACACATGGATATGGACACAGGGATGGAGGCCCGCGGGGCAGCATCACCTCTGCCGGGCAGTCCCTGGGGCTGGGCAGGCGCCGGCCGCGCTCCAGGACCTCGATGAGCCTCAGCACCGTCATCTGCCCCTGCGTGGCCCCGATCAGCTCCAGGAACTTCTGCGGGATGGGGGGGAAACGGGAAGCCGTGACCCCGGGATCCCGATCCCGATCCCAAACCCGATCCCAGCCCAGATCCTGATCCCGATCCCAAACCCGATCCCGATCCCAATCCCAAACCCGATCCCAGCCCAGATCCTGATCCCGATCCCAAACCCGATCCCAATCCCAAACCCGATCCCAGCCCAGATCCTGATCCTGATCCCAAACCCGATCCCGATCCCAATCCCAAACCCGATCCCGATCCCAATCCCAAACCCGATCCCAGCCCAGATCCTGATCCCGATCCCAATCCTGATCCCGATCCCAGCCCAGATCCTGATCCTGATCCCAAACCCGATCCCGATCCCAATCCCAAACCCGATCCCAGCCCAGATCCTGATCCCGATCCCAATCCTGATCCCGATCCCAGCCCAGACCCTGATCCCAATCCCAATCCCAAATCCCAACCCCAGCCCAGATCCTGATCCTGATCCCAAACCCGATCCCGATCCCAATCCCAAACCCAATCCCGAGCCCAGCCCAGATCCTGATCCCAATCCCAATCCTGATCCCGATCCCAGCCCAGATCCTGATCCCAATCCCAATCCTGATCCCAATCCCAGCCCAGATCCTGATCCCTATCCCAATCTCGATCCCAATCCCGATCCCAGCCCAGATCCTGATCCCGATCCCAAACCCGATCCCAGCCCAGATCCGATCCTGATCCCAACCCCGATCCCAGCCCAGATCCTGATCCCAATCCCAACCCCGATCCCAATCCCAAACCCGATCCCAGCCCAGATCCTGATCCTGATCCCAATCCTGATCCTGATCCCAGCCCAGATCCTGATCCCAATCCCAGCCCAGATCCTGATCCCGATCCCAACCCCGATCCCAAACCCAATCCTAGCCCAGATCCTGATCCTGATCCTGATCCCAATCCCAAACCTGATCCCAGCCCAGATCCTGATCCCGATCCCAATCCCAATCCCGATCCCAGCCCAGATCCTGATCCCGATCCCAATCCCAATCCCGATCCTGATCCCAGTCCTGGTCCCATTCCCGATCCCGATCCCAGTCCCATTCCCATTCCCGGCCTCACCACGGGCGGGCTCTGCCCCCCGTCGCAGCGCGTCAGCAGCTCGTAGAGCGTCACCCCGAAGGACCACACGTCCGAGGCGTACGAGAACTTGCACTCCTTGAGGCACTCCACGGCGTACCTGGACCACGGGGCACCCATCGGCACCCATGGGCGCCCAGCAGCACCCAGCAGCACCCATGGGCACCCAGCAGCACCCATGAGCACCCATGAGCACCCTTCACCCTGCCCCATAGCGGTACCCACCAGAAGACGGGGCTGTCCCCATCCTCCCGCACCCGGTAACAGTCACCCATGAGCACCCATGAGCACCCATGAGCACCCATGAGCACCCATGAGCACCCATCATCCCCCCCATAGCGGTACCCACCAGAAGACGGGGCTGTCGCCATCCTCCCGCACCCGGTAATAGTCACCCATGAGCACCCATGAGCACCCATGAGCACCCATGAGCACCCATCATCCCCCCCAGAGCGGTACCCACCAGAAGACGGGGCTGTCCCCATCCTCCCGCACCCGGTAACAGTCACCCATGAGCACCCATGAGCACCCATCACCCTGCCCCATAGCGGTACCCACCAGAAGACGGGGCTGTCCCCATCCTCCCGCACCCGGTAACAGTCACCCATGAGCACCCATGAGCACCCACGAGCACCCATCATCGCCCCCATAGCGGTACCCACCAGAAGACGGGGCTGTCCCCATCCTCCCGCACCCGGTAACAGTCACCCATGAGCACCCACGAGCACCCATGGGCACCCATGAGCACCCATGGGCACCCATGAGCACCCATGGGCACCCATCACCCTGCCCCATAGCGGTACCCACCAGAAGACGGGGCTGTCCCCATCCTCCCGCACCCGGTAACAGTCACCCATGAGCACCCATGAGCACCCATGGGCACCCATGAGCACCCATGAGCACCCATCATCCCCCCCATAGCGGTACCCACCAGAAGACGGGGCTGTCCCCATCCTCCCGCACCCGGTAACAGTCACCCATGAGCACCCATGAGCACCCATGGGCACCCATGAGCACCCATGAGCACCCATGAGCACCCATCACCCCCCCCATAGCGGTACCCACCAGAAGACGGGGCTGTCCCCATCCTCCCGCACCCGGTAACAGTCACCCATGAGCACCCATGAGCACCCATGAGCACCCATGAGCACCCATGGGCACCCATCAGCACCCATGAGCACCCATGAGCACCCATGAGCACCCATGAGCACCCCCCCCCATCATCCCCCCCATAGCACCCATGGTACCCACCAGAAGACGGGGCTGTCCCCATCCTCCCGCACCCGGTAACAGTCACCCATGAGCACCCATGAGCACCCATGAGCATAGCGGTACCCACCAGAAGACGGGGCTGTCCCCATCCTCCCGCACCCGGTAACAGTCACCCATGAGCACCCATGAGCACCCATGAGCACCCATGAGCACCCATCATCCCCCCCATAGCGGTACCCACCAGAAGACGGGGCTGTCCCCATCCTCCCGCACCCGGTAACAGTCACCCATGAGCACCCATGGGCACCCATGAGCACCCATCACCCTGCCCCATAGCGGTACCCACCAGAAGACCCGGTAACAGTCACCCATGAGCACCCATGACCCGGTAACAGTCACCCATGAGCACCCATGAGCACCCATGAGCACCCATGGGC